CTCCATGACACCCACAGTGAAAGCAGATCCACTCAACTGCAGAGCAAAGTCTATATATTGTTCTAGTGACCAGTGTGGGGTATTACGTGGCATTAAACGTGGCATGTCCTTACTTAAACCATAACGGAAAATGTCTTTTAGGAACGTTTCATTAAAATCCACTTGGTGATAGAGTCCACAAAAGTCCTGAACATAATCCTCAATGGAGCGATTACCTTGACGGAGGCGAACAAGATGATCTGCTGGGTTCATTTTGCTGTGGTCGTGTATTCTGTAATGAGTCAGTCCACTGAAGGCGAGCGTAGTGAGAACCCAAATGCAGTTTTATTTACAGTGTGATCCAAACATCCAAACAATAATCCAAACAAGATACACAGACTTGACTTGACTTGACTTGACTTGAATTGACTTGATGAGGCATGAACAGACTAGACTCACCGACAGCGGGTTACAACATCAAATACACTACAAGGGCACAATGAGAACATGATGGCTAGTTATAGCAGACAAGGAGGGTCACATGACATAAACAAACCAATGGGAAACAAGACACATGACTAAGACAACAAATCAGAACATGACACAATGAACAGAGGAACCAATAGCATGAAGACATGAGGGCAAGGGAAGCATGACACAAACAGCATGAAACAATTACAAAATAAAAGACATGAAAACATGAACATGAAACAAAACCCCACATTACAATAATTCACATTGATTATGAACCTGTATACAGTAGTTCTAAGTATTCCCCAAGATATATGAAAAAATAGTAGTTACTGATTAGCTAATAGCGAACTACCAGTTTCAAATGAGCGCCATTACTTAATAAATCGTTAATAAGAGTTTCTTGTTAGTTAATAGTAGTTACTAGAATGTTAATAGTGCATTAGTCATTTGTTCCTGTGCAGTTATTCATTAACGATGGAACAGTAGTCTAAAGTTTTACCACATACAGGTCTTGAAGGATGTAAGGGTGAGTAAAATAATGACAGAATAAAGGAAATTGTAAATGATGGCAAATATGTTGAGGGTAATTCATTTTATATAATGCATAATGAGCAAGCTGAAGGCTGGAATGTTTTAATTGTTCATGAAAGACCCAAAATCTATGGTGGCAGTGCACAGTGTTTTAAAATAACCTTAGAGAAATTCCTGCAGTTACTGGATTAAACTCTGATTGACTTTAGCAAACAATCAAGCTGACGTTTAATAAACACAATATTCGTGTTGACTAGTGCTGGGACAGTGAACCCTGGATGCTTTTGAAGCAGATTTGGAGGAGACGCTCCTGGTGCTGATGGATGGGAGACATCCTCACCTCTCTCAGTGCAGGGCATCAGACAGTTTGACAGATCTCCACATTATCAGACGACAGAGGATTGAAATGTCAGTCGAGGTGTGAATGTGCATGACTCACCTGCTGTGGGTCCACCAGAGTAAACTTGACCTTTACCTTCAAAGAGCCCTGGGTAAAAGCAGGATCCAGGGGTGCAAAGATCCACACACCTGCTATTTGTGCTAGTTTGCATTAAAGGGGACATCAGATGCCCAAGTTCCACAAGTTGGTATGATCCTTTAGGGCCTTAATGAAAAGTCTATAACATACTTTGGTTAAAAATTCCTCAATGGTAGTGTAAAACAACACCCTTTTTACCCTGTCAAAAACAGCTCTGTTCACAGCGAGCCGTTTCAGTGCATGTTCCTTTAAATGCTAATGAGCTCTGCTGACCCCGCCCCTCTCTTCTGTGGCGTGATGAGCCATTCTTATGAGAGACTCTTAACTTTAGTCGCATTCATTGTGAAACTGGCTAACTAGCACATTATTAGGAAAGGCGATTTGCAAAGATTCATAAAAGAGCATTATACTCACTACTTCTGTAGGTGAGGCTGGATCACGAATGATTCGCGCGAGCATAGACACATTTAGGTAGATCGGGGGTGCATTCCCTTCAGAAAAAAACAATCCACTGCGTCTTCAGCAGCTCAGATGTCGGGAGTAAATGACGACTGCTATGTTCATTATTACATCCAACAACAGAACACCTCAATCTCTTAGGAGTCATTCTTGTCTACTCCTGCTCCGGCGTCCAAACAATGGTGGACTGATGACAGCTCACTCAGGGCGGGTCTGTGATAAAACACCAGTGTCAGTCAATAGTCGTGGGAGGGGCCTGGGTCTGTGTGACATACATGAGGCCAGAATCTGAGAACGGCTTGATCTGAATAAGCGCTTATTATTTTTGGGGATTAAAAAAAAAACCCACTGGGTGGATTTTTATCATTATAGGGTGGTTGTGTACACACTGCCAACACACATGTATGTTCAAACACCTTGTAAAAGTGAATTTTGCATCCGATGACCCCTTTAAAGAAATGGGTCTAAAACAGTACAAAACATCATAGCAGGAGATTATGAATAAACAAATTACTTAACTACAAATGATTAAGGTGAATAAGTGGCTAGTTCAGCAGCCAGTATGAATTACTCTGAGCATGTGTATGATAATCATAAGTGACTCTCTCTGCAGGTGTTAGCATCACATCAGAAACGAGTGAAATCTTAGAATTCTTAGAAATCTTAAAGGGGTCATCGGATACAAAATTCACTTTTACATGTAGTTTGAACTGAAATGTGTGTTGGCAGTGTTTGTACACATCCACCCTATAATGATAAAAATCCAACCAGTGTTTTTTTTTTTAATCCCGATAAATGATAACCCCATTCTCAAATCAAGCCATTCACAGATTCTTGACTGTGTGATGTCACACAGACCCAGGCCCCTCCCACGACTATTAACTGACACTGACCTTTCAGCTTAGCTCCGCCCTGAGTGAGCTGTCATCAATCCAACATTGTTTCGACTCCGGAGCAGAATAACTCCTAAGAGATTGAGGTGTTTTGTTGTTGGATGTAATAATGAACATAGCAGTCATCGTTTACTCTCGACATCTGAGCCGCTGAAGATGCAGTGGATTACATTTGCTTTTGAAGGGAATGTGCCCCCCGATCTACCTAAATGCGTCTATGTTCGCGCGAATCATTCGTGATCCACACTGAAAAAAACAATAAGTATTTGTAATAAGTTTTTGCACACATAAATTTTAAGTAAAATTTAAGTATTGAATTAAGTAAAATCTACTTAACTAAGGCCCAATCCCAATTCAATTTTATACCCCTTCCCCTTCCCCTACCCCTTCCCCTTGTCTCTTGAAACAGAGTGTCTTAGCAAAGGAAATAAATAAATTTAACATGGCCAGTTAGAGTTTAATGAGTCATTTCTACTTAATTGTTTTGTTAAATATGCAGTACTCAAGTACATTTCCCTCAGTTACAGTTTATAAAATTTACTCAAACAATGTAGCACTGGAAAACAACCATACTATTAAAGCATGTGGTTCACTTGCAAACATGTAAGTAAGCAAGTACACAGCTTGTTATCCTTAGAAGATAATA